TCCAAAACATGTCTTGTTAATACAATATAAATTTCAAACACATCGTGTGGTTTCTGAAATCTATATTTCTTTTATTATCTTTATCATCATCACTATTATTATGCCATCCAGAGTCCCATATTTTTGAAACACCATTCTTAAATTTAACGGGGATCGTTTCGGGGTCGACACCAAGAAACATGGGGATCATTTTCGGGGTCGGGATCATTTCGGGGTCGATTTGGGGGTCATGTCAGGGTTGGGAGCCATTTTGGGGTCGGGATCATTTCGGAGGCTGTACAGATCCCTTTGGTATTGCATGATGACAATTAACCGGTGAGCCCATTTTCATCAGGTAATTAACATAACATCTCAGTTTTTTTTTATGATTGTATGTTTTTCCATTTTCAGAGCTCCAATACAAATTTCGAAAATTTAAGGTGACTCTGGACCCTACCTACAGAATGTTTTCAAACTCTGCCAAAAGTCGCGTCTTACCATACTTATCAAAAGTTGATAATATCGAAAAACAAAAACTCACCGTGCCGTTTATTTGACTATTATTAGCCCCAAAGCTGTAAGTAAGTGTGTTTTTAGGAGGTCATTCTGTTGCTATGGTCACCTATTGTGTCACGAAAATGATAACAATGTGTTCACCAATGATTGGGCGTTTTTTGATACCATGATTGTAGCATCAAGCGATAAAGAGGGTAATAACGACCCATCAAAATCTAAGTGTTGGAAACTGTTTTGAGCCACCTTAAGATAGTATGAAAAAAATAAACAAATAAACAAATCGATATTTCGCGACTTTGTTAGCCTTGAAAAAAATCGAGACTGCGAGACGCACATAACCGCGAAAAAAACGAGAGTGCGACACCTATGAATTTTGGTAGACACATGGCTTTTGAAGGACCATTCGCCACCTCTTTTATTAGCCTTGCTGCAATTTGGTATCGCATGACAGTTGACCAATGAGCCCATTTTCATCTGGTAATTAGCATAATATATCAATCTCTATATGAATTTTTTTTTTTTTTCCCAGTACAGTCACGTTTAAAATGAAGTTGGCCCTCGTTGCCTTGTTTCTCCTTCTTTCCGACAACATGGACACAGTCGGGACAAGTAAGTTTTAAAACTCAGAGTGTAGTTATTTACTTGATAAATCATTTCTTTATATCGAGCGATTATTTCCTTGTGAAATGCTAAACAAATGAATAGCTCGTGTTTTATTATTATGATTTGCTAAGCAGTTATCATGACATCGCCGGGTCTTTTGTATCAGATCAGCATTAGGATCCAGGGACTGTCGAAGATCTTATTGAATTCAAAATATTTGAAAACAATGCAGCCATTCAGTTTAGGCAAAATGGTTCCATTTGAACATCAGAAAGTAGTGTTTCAAAAACATATTGAAATATGTAGTCAAATTGTCGACTAAGAAAATAACGACCAGAATTGAAGATATTCTACAAAGTTTGCGCTTCCTAAACACTTGTACGGAGGTGACCTTCGTGAGCAACATCGCACGCCCGATAACCAGCGGGGTTGCTTTAAATGCACATCCAAATGTGATCTATGTCGCAATTATTTAAAGGAATCTAATTGCTTTACTAGCACTAGTACTAGCAGGACGTATCCTATTACGCAGATTCTTAATTGTAGATCTAAAAATGTCATCTACTTGGTTACGGGCAAGAAATGCAATGTGCAATATGTTGGTTCCACAAGTAACGAATTTAAAATTCGTTTCCGCAACCACAAGTCTTCAATGATCACCAAAAAACGTACTTGTGAAGTTGCTATTCATTTTAACAAAGAGCCTCATGCTCTGGCAGATTTTGAATTTTGAATTATTGAACAGTTGTGTAACCTTAGTGTCAATAATAATAGCCTTGATGACCGTTTGCTCACAAGAGAGGCCTTTTGGAGTGCTCAATTATGCACCCTCGCACCTAATGGACTCAACAAAAGGTGCGAGTTTAATTCCAAGAATAGGATTCGCTACAATGAACACCATCTTGCTGCTGCATTTTACTTGATTTTATTTGCTTTTTAGTGGGCGTTTTGCTATTTTTATTATTACGCAATTCTTATGTAATCTTATGTGAAAAAAAAATTCTTTGTTTTCTTTGTAAGTTATTGTTTTGCAACTTATTTAAGGCTTTTTCACTTTTTGTAAATTTTATTCCGAGTATTGATGTTCTTAGTGTTGAAGAAGCCCGAATGGGCGAAACGTCCACTTGAATTAAAGAGCTCCTACGAGAAAAGTTCGCATATTCTTCTGTATATTCAACCTATGATTATTTAAAGAAGAAGCGTTCTGTATCCACTGGATCCTTTTCTCCAAGGCATCATCGTTGGCAAACCAACATTATTCACACATCTATACATCTGTTGCAATTGCGTATGCTCACTAGCTCGCTAGTTTGAGCACTCTGGTGATGGCTTAGATACTACCACATGTGTAGCATTCGGGGCGGCTTTTTAAGCTTAGCCTCCATCCTAGTCTTCAGCACTGCACTGAT